TGCCTACGTGCAACCTCTCAAATTTAAATTCAGAGCAGTGAAAATCATTAGCAGGCAATCGTTCGGCGGAAGAAATTGCACAAAACACATGATCATACCGTCTGCCCTGGTGCGCGCCGCTATTTTTTGTATTTACTGTGTGTTTCACGCAGAACTCAGCCCACGTGGCGTATGTGGATTTCTTTCTTTTTCGGCATGAAATTGGCTTTAATTGCAGCGTAGCAGTGCGCTGCAGCCGGGGGATGCAGCTGGCATGTTGTTGAGGCGAGCACGTGATCGGTTGTGGTCGCAGCTGCGGCGCCATTCACGGGCTTCACGTGCCAACGCCGATGCGCAGCTGAGATCCAGCGAGCAGGCCTGTGTGGTATCGGAGGGTGCTATCACACGAATCGATATCGCTCACTTGCCAGCCAATCAGCCAACCGAAGATTTTTATGCAACCGCAAAGTGCCTTTCATCCGACGCTTTCCTTTTTGGTTGGTTATTTTTTTTTTTCGTTTCTTGTCACTTCACAGATATATCTCAGAAAACCAGGATCATAATCTCGATCTGTCGGGGGACCGTTTTTTTCTTGTTGTTTATTTGGCGTATATGAATAAATGCCAGTATTTTTTGTTTTCTAGGAATTATAGGCCTTGCTTAACTATATCCAATGTTTGGGAGCGTTACAAAGATGGGGCTCTTACATCGATTATCCGGCAGGTTTTACTTGTTTTGGTAATGGCCATTTTTTGTAGGAAGAGGAAGATCTGTAGGAAGAGGAGGCGAAGGAGAGGATAGATAATTTTGCGAGGCCTCCCTGCAGCTCTCGTTTCTCGTCCCAATGATACTTTATTAAAGCAGCAATACGGCCACATGATAACTGTTTAAGATTTTTAAAAATCGTGATTAAAAGGTGCGTGAGTGTTGTGGAGCCTAGAATCGAAAAGCCTGGCATAGCTGCATCCAGCATGTGGAAGCATCCCAGTAGCGCCATTAATATAGCACACCCTTGCTGATTGTCCAGCGGTTTTCGTATTTTCGGCACAAATTTGATGATGTATCATGCCTTTGGAAGGTACAGCTTTTCTGCGAAAATTAGAAATTTGATGTAGCTAGGTAGGTAATACAAATTCATTGCGGTATTCGAGTTGCAAAACCGGAACGTCCTCTTACATTTCAAATGGAGACTTTAATTATAAAAACATTAAATTATTTTAAAATTGTAAAATTAGATATAAAAATATGAAATTATATTATAAAATCAGATGAACAAAGGTGTTTCGGTCCATTAAGTCGTATACATTTCTATTCAGCAACACAACTGCACATTTTCAGTTCGACAGTTGTGATGTTGATAAAATAAAAAAGTGAAATGAAATAAATTATTCAAATAGATTTTTTTGACATTTTTCCTCTATAAATTGATTTCATTTCACATACTGTGGGCAAGAATTTAGGAGTTTCACATACTGTGGGCTTAGTAGGAATTTCAAGAATTTCACATACTTAGCAAGAATTTCACATACTGTGGGCTTTTCAGGCGTATTCGATGGTCATTGCGGTAATGCTTGTAGTCGTTACATTTCAACGCATCTTTTTGATTATGTTAGCGCAGGTGCCTTAAAACGACACATTATCATGGATTTGCCGCTCAAAGACAGATTGCAATGGCTTTATACGAATGGCGATCCGCTAGATGAGAAATTTAGGTGCAATTCCTGGTTCATTTCTGTCTGATCTCTTAGAAAACCCCTTTAAAAATCGTGTTTTTTAAATTAAATTTCTTCATTTGTTCCGGACATCTTTAAAAAAAAAAGAATTATTTCGTTTATCGGCAGGTACAGCGCAGTGGCATATAGTGTTGTAGTCGTGTTGCAAGCTAGGGGTCCGACCCCGCCAATAGGAAAATCCGTCTTTGTGGTATTTATTTTTTCATACATTCATTTTGATGCTAAATTCTTACCGATACATGCTAGAAAGTCAAAAACACTGACGGTTTTGCTAGCGGATGGTTGCCACCAATATTTGCTGCCTCCTGAGATAATTGCGAATGTTTCTAAGCCTCTCATGGAGAATAATACTTGAGGATTATCGACATTTTTTTTTTTTAACAAAATG